CTTCCTTTTTGAATTGTCCAAAAATATGAACATTTTTCTAAACTGAATTTCACTAACTTTTTACCTTCACACTTTATCCATCTATCTATCATTTAATCGTTTATTTTGGGAAAACTGTCAAATAGGTCCACGTACTATTGACAAAAAGACAATTGAATCCTCGTACTTATTTGCAAATCAATTAAGTCCACAAAGTATTAAAAAAGACCAATTAGCCCATTTAGCCAGTTGGATATAAATGTTGCCGGTAATAGCTTACGTGGACGCCCATGTGGCAATGATTCCGTTTTTTCGTTACTTTTTCCTTTTTCTTTTACTTTTTTTCTTCCTTTTTCTTTCAGCCTTTCTTTCTTTCCCTGACTTCTTCTTCCGATCCTTTGTCCACATGGACCAATAAGAATTATGCACTCGAATTATTTAAATCTAAATTAAAAATGATATAATGGTTTGAACCAATCAAATGCATGGTAGGTACGGTACCTCATTTTTAAATAGGTACCGGAGTTGTCACCAGAAAAGAAAATGAAACGGGGGGATCCACGTGTACCGCCACTGTACACATTTTACCTTATAACTAGATCCCAACCGTCTAAATGGAATAATTGAATGTTTTTTAACACTTCGTGGACTTAATTGATTTACAAATAAGTAGAAGGACTTAATTGATTTTTTGGCAATAGTACAAGGACCTATGTGACAGTTTTCTCGTTTTTTGTTGGTGACACTCTTACTTCTCTTACTTTTTGAAGGTTAATTCTAAAACATGATTATGAATGTTTTGTTCGCTAAACATAGGAAAATTTCTAAAACATGATTATGAATGTTTTGTTCGCTAAACATAGGAGTAATGTAATTTTATTAAAAGAATAGAAGTATAAAAAATTCATTAAGTTTTGTTATGTTCAACTTAAGTTTAGGTAAATTTCTGAAATTTAATCTACAAGACTACACTTGTATCTTTTCACATGCGTGATATAAATTGATCTTCTTTTTATACATTTGTACATTCATAAATCATAACTTAAATTAATTATAGTCAAACAATATTAATAATATGTTTTGCTATTTCTAAAATATGTAAGTTTAGTGTAAGTTGGCCCTAGCTCACTCAAGTGTAACTAAAATAATTTAAGATGTTAACAATTAAACGATGAAGAATATGTTGAATGCACTATTGGGAGGACAGAATGCAACGATCATCCAGAAGCTAAATTCATTTTGTTGTCAAAGGTGTTCCCTGAAGAATTATATAGCAACAAATTCCTATTCATTCTATGGTTGAGCCTTAGACACACAGACTAGTAAGGATGTTTTTACTTGGACTGTAATTTGTCCCAGACCAGACCAGACCAGACCAGTCCAGACTAGATCAGACCAGTTCAGACCAGACCAGACCAGACCAGACTTGGATAGTTATAAAATACAAAGAAACCAGACCTTACCAGACCAGACCAGACCAGTTCAGACCAGACCAGATCAGACCAGACCAGACCAGCAAATTACAGTCCAAGTAAAAAACATCCTAAGTGGCAGGGACGGATTTAAGGGGGGGGCGCGGGGGGCGACCGCCCCCTTGGACTTTCAAAATTTTCTACTATATATGTAGTATTTTCATAAAATTTCCATACTTTAATTAGATATATATGTTTTCGCCCCCCTTAACTTTTATGTTTTTAAAGTTAATATATAGTGTTACATTATGTAATACTTAATTGGAGATTTAAAAAAAGTAAAATCTAAAATATTTAGATAGTTTAAGACTTAGCTAGGATACCTATTATATAAAAATTCATAGCTTTGTAATATTTAATTATCTTTATTAGATAATTGGTGCTAAATTTTGTAAAAGGTCAAACGATAATAAATATCAGACACACTGGTTAAACAATTTTAAATCACATGAAGTGAATCCAAAATATAAATGTTTGTTCACATTAAATTATACAACTCATTTACTTCTTACTTTCTAAGAGCAATTTATTGCATAAATAATAAACTTTAACGCATTTTAGTGTTAATACAAATATAATACGCATCATATATATATATATATGAATTAACAATACTACGTATAATATTATTCTAAAAATAATAATCTCATGCATACTATTGTAATGTTAAAAAAACTCCTCGTAACCCATGAACACCCTACTCGGTAGACAAAAACTACAATTCAAAAATAAATTCTTTATTCTGGTAAGATTCATGTGATTAAACAAGACATAAGTTATTTTAAAAACATTGATTGATGTGTACCTTTTAATTTTTTTACCTTCAAATAATTCGAAAAAATGATATATATCCTTTTTTATTTTCAAATAAATTTCCTTTGATTTGCAATTTCTTATGCTTTAATGTATCAATACTTTTTCTAGAGCATTTACGGTTCCAACATTAAAGTTATTTTTCCATTGTCTAAACTTAGAATGTAATATATTTAAATGTTATCGTGAATATACTAATGATTTTTTTTGAATAAAAATTAGCCGCAGAGCCCTTCAATAGTGAAAAAATTTCTTTCCGCTACACTAGCGGAAAAAAATTTCCCGCAACATTAGCGAAAAAAATTCTCCCCGCTACACTAGTGAAAAAAATTTCGCCCCCCTTTGACTTGAAATCCTGGATCCGTCCCTGATAAGTGGTAACATGTGATAACCTCATATACGGAGTACATGGTAATGGTTTGATCATTTTGTTTTGGTAAATATCATTTGGAATTTGTTGATCATCTTTTATGTAACTGTCCTTTTAGTCGAGCAACACTGTTTTTCGGCTTATCAGGCTTATCAACCAACTTTTTCACCAAACACGTAACTTTTGTTTTCGCGCGCTGAATTGTGTAATAAGCAGAAAAAGTAAGGTTGGAGTTACTTTTCTGGCTGCATTGGCTGAAGTTACTGTAGATGACCATTTTAGTTATTTTTACATATAATTTTTTCTTTATTTTATTAGTAAAATATATTTTAAAAATAATTTTTTCTTAAATCAGCAGAAAATGACACTATAGCGACACTGTTTGGCACTGTAGCAACACAATTTGACATTGTTTGACACTGTTTGGTATAGATTTGTTTACCAAATAAGGAAGGTAAAGAAACAAGACAATTATTTCGGGGCGGACCGAAAAGGAAAGCGGGACAATAATTTTGGGACGGAGGGAGTACTCCGTAAGTAATTATGAAAATAACATTGAGTTAAAAATATTTCTCAAAATACAACTACATTACATTCTAGTTAAAAATATTTACGTAAAAATGAAATTCGCGGAATGCAAAGTACCAAGTGTGCAAGTTAAAGATGGGACCCCAATTTAAAAGAATCTCTATTATCTTTAAATAGTGTATATATATATTTTTTTTAAAAAATTCTAAAGACCATATGATTTCTAATTAAAATATCAAAATTCAAAATTATATCTTCAAAAGAAACTTTTTTCCCACCGGACAAAGCTTAGGCTAAAAAGAAATAGAGAAATGCTAGGTGTACCCATTCGCATACATTGTCTGTTTACGCAGACAGAGTTGTCTTTATATGTATATAGAAAGTGTGTGCAAATGTGATACATAATGCGTACCTCTAGCATTTCTCAAAAATATATATCAAAATTCATAATTTTTTATAATTTTTCATATGAAACTAATAATATTGATATATATTATATACATATTTAAAATAATCTAAAGATCATATGGTGTCTGGTTGATTCTACTTCGACTTTTGAAGAATAATCACTTCCAAACATGTAAGGATATTTTCTTTTGGACTGAAATTTGTTGTTCTAGTCTGATCTGGTCTGAACTGGCCTGGTTTGGTAAATGTCTGGTCTCTGTGAATTTTATAACTACGGAAGACTGGTGTGATCTCGTATGATCTGATCAAATCTTATCTGACCTGGTATTGAAAATAATCCAAAAAAACAATCTAAATGACAAGGCCACATTTATTATTTTTTTAAAAAAAATGATGTTTGTACCTACTTTTATACCCACTTTTGTACCCCATCCATGTTTGTGAAGTTATTTTTTTTGTCTGTGAATTCCTTCACAGACAAAATATGTCTGTGAAGGAATTCAAAGACATATTTTGTCTATGAACCGGCTTCACAGACAAAAAAATAGCCTTCACAGAGGTGGGTATAAGGTGGGTACAAAGTGGTGGGTACAACAAGCATGATTGAAAAAAAACTGAGACAAAGGTTCATATTTTCAAAAAAACTTTTTGTACCCACTCATATACCCACTTTTGTACCCACCATGTTTGTGAGGAGTTTTTTCTTTGTTTGTGAATCTCGGTCACAGACAAAATATGTCTATGCAAATTATTTTGTCTGTGAATCGGATTCACAGACAAGAAAAAATTCCTCCGAGACATGGTGGGTATAAGGTGAGTATTAAAGTGTGTACATTCTCTCATATCTTTAGCCCATGTTTTCAGGCCTATGAGATGAAATAATGGGCCTAGTCGATGAAGGCCGGTCTACGCCACCATGAAATTCCAGAATGCTACAGAAAGAAGGCAGAGGAGTCAAATTCAGGATGCAATGCAATAATAAATGATTGAGTAATTGATTTCCTTGCGTCACTTCGTCCCACCGCACGGTCCCCTCTCTCTTTCTCCCCTATTGCTGCACACTAAAAGTCAGTGTCAGGGGCTGAAAAGTCACTTTAATGTCCTCTCTACTGTTTTTCAACTAAATTACGGAAAAAGATGACATCCCATCCCTGAGTGTCCCCAACACCGATCGGACAGTACGATGGGAGGAGGTAAATTGGACTATAAGTCCTATGCATTTTTTAGCATAGTAACATCTCATCGCAGTTGCTGAGATTCGAACCCGAGTCTAACCCTTGTGGCACTCCCTCACTACCAGTTGAGCTACACGCTCACCAGTCAACTAAACTACGGAGTATATAGACGAGTATATAGACAATACACAATACTACCTCCTTGGCTCCTTACAAAAAAAATTCATATTTATTTTTCTAGAAAACGATGAAGTAGTTTTTCTATTATTTTTATTTTTATTCCATTATTTAAGTTTATATACACTTGCATATTTTTAAAAAATCGTGTAAGCACCCGGAGTGAGAGCATTGCTCTCTAAACCTTCGGTCCTCCTAGGGTTTGGCCGCCGCTAGGTTCGTTTTCCGACTATGGCTTTTGGCTGAGGATCGAGAGCAGTAGGTTGACGACAGACTGGCGAGTGCAATTGGCTGCGATCGAGGTGGAAGGTAGGCGTTAAGGACGAGTCGCGGCGAGGTTGGAGTGCAGATCCGTTGCGAGCGTAGGCTGTAGAGGGTGAGTGTAGGTGTTTCATGGAGGATTTCGTCGCTTCGTACAAGAAACTATCAATGAAGGACCAGGAGAGCGAACTGAATTTCGATGAGGAGACAGAGGTAGATGCCGTGGAGGAGCAGGAACCGAAGCGATTTCCGGCAGTGGGGGTTGTCATCACGGATCGTAAAATCAAGTTATCAGGATTTCAAGAGTTGATGACCTCGATCTTGAGCCCAGTGAAAGGTATGACTATTAAGGAGATCGGCGAACTCAGGTATCTGTTAATCTTTAATCAAGTTTTGGATATGAACCGTGTGATTGAGGAAGGCCCTTGGCTGTTTGAACGAGACTTGATTTTGTTAAAAGCTGTCCAACCTGATGATATACCTGAATCAATGAATTTGTTTGAGGTCAATTTCTGGGTACAGGTTCATAATGCTCCTATAAAATATAGGAATCTGAGATCTGCTAGAAAAATTGGTAATTTTATAGGCTCTTTTATTAAATTTGAGATGAGTCATTTTGATGGAAAGCAGAGTTCCTATCTGAGAATAAGAGTGAGTTTGGATGTTCGTCAACCTCTGAGAAGGGGTACTAATGTGACACAGGATGGAGTAAAACACTGGGTTGATTTTAAGAATGAAAAATTGCCCAGTTTTTGCTTTATCTGTGGTATTATTGGTCACTCTAACAAGTTTTGTCCTTTGAAATATGAAGAAGGCTTTGTAGCTGAAAAAATATATGGGGCGGGGATTAGAGCGGGTGGAAGGGTAAAGACCATCCCTACAGGGTTTAAATGGCTATCTGATGGGGGCCTCTAGCTCAAACGGATATGGAGGTCAGCGGAAGGCTGAGCTCCGGGAAGAACACACGGCTGAGTCCAGTTCTTATCCACCACTTTCTGAATATGCTGGTCTAAAGTTTGAGCAAAAATATGCTGGTCTAAAGTTTGAGCAACCACAAATTACTTCCTCCATATAACTTTGCCTGACTGACAAGAAGTAATAATAATAATAATAATAATAATAATAATAATAATAATAATAATAATAATAATAATAATAATAATAATAATAACAATAATAATAATAATAATAATAATAATAATAATAATAATAATAGTAATAATAATAAAGTAAAAATCGTGTGTCTAATGTTTGTGCAAATGAGATAGAATTAACGAGAATCACAAATTCTTTATTCAAAAGGGAAAGTGACAATGTTTATGGACAATCAAACAAATGAAAGTTGATAGAGGTCATAAGTGATGTAACTTTTCTAAATCGTAAAGATGAAACTACTGATCATTTAAATTATTTTTCCATATAATTCTTTCTTCATTTTATTGATAAAATATACGTAGCACTTTAAATTTAATTCTTCCATAATTTAACGGATTCAGTTAGATTTTATCAGTTTTCACAAATTCAATTGATTCAATCATATTTTCAATATTATCAAATTGTGTTCTCCACATTTAGGTATTTTTTTGAATGACTTAATTTTACCCGCACAGGTAGCCCAGTTGGTCGAGTGGTGAGAATTGCAAAATTTGGATCAATGGACCAAGGTTCGAATCCCCGCAACGACCGGGTAGAGGTTACAGAACCTGAAATAAGGCTGGACCTCTGACGCGCAGTGGCAGATCCAGGAAACGGAACTATTGGGGGCAGACCGGCAGAGCAAAGGTAGTGCATGTGCATGAAGAAAAAAAACATACAATATACCCAAATAGCCAAAAATTATACTTCGTAATAAAGTACACAAGAATTTCCTAAATAAATAAAGTATATTACAATACAAAAAACCCCGAAAAATTGAAATACAATTGGTTTTCTTCGAGTTTTCATCTTTCAAAAGAGATTTATTATAGTTTCATTTGTGATGGTTTCAAATAGATATCTTTCTACAAAGCAAACAAGACAGTCGCTAAGAAACTGATCACCGATTGTATTAAGTAAATTAGTCTTCACTATTTTCATAACACAAAAGTGTCTCTCAACAGTTGTGGCAACCAGTTAAGTCAAAGCTAGATTTAAAATTATATATTGGTCAAACCATTTGCAATTAAATTGTCTCAAACTCTGTCTCCCCTATCTTCTTTTGTGGAATGTCATAGTTACACCTATGACAAACAAACGCCTTTTCCCGGCACCTTAAATAACCTGAGCAAACCTACCTGGACGAAGATACACACCCTCATAAGCACTAGCCACTCTCGGTAAAAAAACAACGTCGACGAAGGCGTGTAGGTGCACTATTCCGCGGTGGGGATTGTCACTTTCCATAAATTTCCCATTTGTCAAACCTACATATTTTCTCCGAATTTCATCTCTTTGATTAGGATGATATTATATTGAGAGATTTTTCTTCTTTTAGCTGGGTGAGAAGAAAGTTCATCCAAATAACTTCATAAATTGAAATAACACATTAAGAAGTACTACGTACTACCTACATTGGAATTTGAATTTTCCATAGGAGCTTGTTTTATTCAAAAATCTCTTCATAAAATCTGATTAAAAAGTGTAATTAATTCTTTGATAACTAATGTGTTCATTTGTTTATTTATATATCTCAAGCCTTCTCCTAGCATGAGATCGAGGTAGCTATAGCTATGTAAAAATAATACTTCGTACAAATTATCCCATAGTTATGCTTTCTCTTAACTCTAACTACACGGATTTAGAATTCACTTTACTTACAAAATTAAAGCTGAAGTATCAACTATAATTTTTTTTGAAAGCAATCAACTATAATTAAGTGATATTCGTGTAATTTCCGATTGTATGTTTGTATTTTTAACTAGTTTTTATTAGTTGTAGTTGTGGAAATTACACACTTTTGGTGTAATATTTTATTTTCATTTTTATTTGTAATTTGTTTAGATTAGGATTATTCTAAGCTAAACAGGTCAAAGATCATCGAAGGGATCAAGATTGGACCTTAAAAGATAAAGGAAAGTGCAAGGAGACAAGAAAGATTTCGATTTGGAAAAAATACTCATGTACCCGGTCGGGTATTGCCTATACCTGATCGGGTATTCACTTGATTCGATTGTCCAAATCAAATCTGGGAACAAATGATCGTGGGAGCAAATTTTCGTGAAGATTTGTCACATACCCGATCGGGTATGCCGACATACCCGATCGGGTATGCCCAGAAAAGTGACTTTCTTGGCAATTTCCTAAGATACCCGATCGGGTATCCTATATACCCGATCGGGTATCAGACCCTGCAGCTCCCAAAAGCCTATAAATACACCCCTTTCCTTCACAATAAAATCACCAATTCACATATACTCTTTAGCTTAGTTTAGATTAGTGTTTTCTTTATATTTTCTATCATGTTTAGTCTCCAAATGAGGAGCTAAACTCTTCCATCTTGGTTTTGCTACTTTGAAGCTTAATGAATTTGTAAGTTGTGAGTTATTCTCTTTAATCTTCTTCCTTGAATATTAATTCTTCCTTTAAATACTATTTCTATATCAATGTTGGGGAGTGTTACTAAGATGACAATTAGTTAACATCTTGACATTAGTTATAGTAATAGTTATTTCTTCCTCTATGTTAATATTGGGGAGTGTTACTAAGATGACAATTAGTTAACATCTTGATATTAATTATAGTAGGATTCATCTTCTTTAATATTCTTCCTTGAGTATTAATTAATTCCTATTCATATTTCATATTAATATTTTGAACATTACTTAAAGGATCAACTAGTTTTGTTTCATATATTAATTATTACTAGAATCGATCGACGAATACGCTTGTTAATCGTTCGATCGTTTCACGGTAGTAAACTTGGGTTATTAATGCATGCGTTTCATGGTTAATAAACCAAGGGGAATTAATTATGTTGATTAAACCAATAAACCGTTTGTGTTGAGGTTATCAATCTCAATCGTTTTCATCTTGATTTTATTGCTACTATCGGGTTAATATACGGCGCGTGTTCTATATTGACTCGGTAGTAAGTTTATTAATGAACGCGTCTCGTTATTAATAACTACCCTCGATGAATTGGATATACTCCTCGATTGAGTATTCGAGAGGAAGATAGTTAAAGATATAACCGGGATCGACGAACATTTCATTAAGTGGATAAAAGCAAAACCAAGTCATCATCTCTATTAATTAAACTCATTTAAGTTGTTCATCTTCGTATTTAATTAATTAAAATCAAACACATCTAAAACCCCCTTGTTACTATTTAATTAAAAAGAGAAGTATTTCTTTCCCTGTGGATACAAACCTTACTTCGTTATACTACGTATAATTGTTGTATTGATAATTATTTTGAGTGCACACCACGAAAAAGTGCACGTCATTAAGTATACGAATCTACGATATAGTATTACGTACTCCGTATTATTTTTTGCAGCACACGGAACATATTCTTTTACTTTGGACTTTGGAACCATGAACCGGAGAACCGAATCGGACCGAACCGTTATGACCCGGTTCGGTTCCAAAATTTATTAGTTATTTGTTAATGGTTCGGTTCCTATTTTGTATTAAAGGTTCGATTCTCGGTTTCTGAAAAAAATATGTACACGGAACAGTTAAGGAACCGTTATATATAATAATTAAAATTATATATATTTCTTATTAGTATTATAGTTTAATGTATATTTACTTAACTATTTTCATATATTACATTCACTATTTTAGTTTAGTTATTTAACTATTTAAAATTATTTTTCATTCTAACCGATTCTCTTGGGCTTCTTTAGCGAATATCTTGTTTTGTTTTATTTACTAAAATTTGCGGTTTGTTATGTATTTATGTTTTAAACTCAAATTTTGAGGTTTGAAATGATGTTCAACATATTTGTATTGTAATTTCAAACGTTAAATGTCTTTTTGGCACAAATTTAACCGTGATTTGTAAGAAATTTTTTAAAGACTAGGATCCGTTAAATGACAAGAACCGAACCGATAAGCTTATCGGTTCTATAAAATAATTTATAAGAACCGGACCGTTAATAAAATTTCATATTTTCAAACGGTTTCACATATTTTGCCTAGGAACCGAACCGGTCCTAGGCCTAGAATTGGTTGGAGTAGGGGATTGGGGGCATTTAACTTTTTTATTGGGGGCAATTATATAGACTTCATTTTTTTCTATTATAATAGGAAGGATTATTGAGAGTTTATTGGGGACAGCTGCCCCCTTAGTGAAGCTATGCATCCGTCCCTGCTGGCGCGCACGGGTGTATGGCCTACAATGATCCCATCTCCAACTATTTATTACTTTATCACGATTATCACCATATCTGGCTGATCTCTCTCTTTTCCAACCTTGTATCATTATCTCAACTATTTTGCAGTCCCCAAAATAGAGGGAGTAAATGGTCTTCAGCCGCATGATTCAGTGCATGTGAAAACACTGCCCCTTCATACGCTTTCTTCCGACACCAATCTCGAATTAATGCCAAATTGTTGTCCATTTGTGCCGCATGTAAATTCCAACAGTTGATTATCAAAATCCCAAATTTTTTAGCTTCCTGATTATCATTAAAGTCTAATTACTTTTATTATTATATATTTATATGAGTAATACAATGTGTGCCGTCTTGTGTGCGCCGTTTAGTTTTAGTCATCCTTTGGTGCGACGATTAGGTTAGCATAGAAGGAAAATGTTCACAGGAATATCGCTAGGCATGTTGTGGCGGCCAATGGAGAAGGAGTTGCTATAGCCAAGGAAGGGAGAAAGGGAGGCGTCCAGAGGGGATGGAATTGCGGGGCAGACGGAGGTTGCGTGTCAAGGAATCAATCGAGCGACGGGCGGGAGCCGTGCCTTGTTCGTGTCAACAATCATAGCAATGGTCCGGCCTCCTCCTGAACCACCGCAAGGGGTTGAACGAGGTGCTAGGGTTCAACATACTTGTTTTGCTTATTTAGTTTTTTTTTTCATGTTTCATCCTCCTATTAGTTTTATTATTTTGTCATTTTGTTTCTTGTTACCGTCTATGTTGTTGGGTTTGTCAGTTTGCTTTGGAATTTGGCATCTTTTTATGTTATTGGATATGTTTGGATCTATGAGAACAGGGATGACTGTGTCAAGCCCGCTGCATGGTTAGCAATTCATGTTGCTCTTTCAAGGGTGACCGTCTCTAGGTCTGATTATAGGGTTTACAGTCGTAGTTAATGGAGTTTAGTTGGTGTCAGATCTGTTTTTCCTTTGATTGATGTAATGATTCTGAAATTTATGATATGAATAGAGACAAATTTCGTTCCAAAAAATATAGAGTATGTGTCATGAGATTTCATATTTTAACAAAACATTTTATACGTAACGTCAAGGACTCAAGATCGATACTCCCATCATGAAAGATAAGTATGATGATCGTTCAATGAAATCCACGCTTAAAATTTATAAAATAAAATAAAATAATCTAAACAAAATTTTTGTAACATCTTTTTATCACTGGTAAATGTGCTAGACATCTGGACCCATAAAATTTCTCAAACTTCAAACAATCAAAATAGATACTCCAATCAAATTTAAGTAATCATGATCACTTTATTATAAAAATGCAATTCTTAAATAAATAATTACAAATCGACAAGGTACTTGGATATTAGGGTTGATTTAGATTACGAAACTTGAGTTATGTTAAATATTTACATATATTTGATACGGAGTATTTAATCAAAGGATCCACTAATTTAAGACATCAAATTCAAATTTATATTTAACAAATATAATTACCATTAAATAGAAATAATGCACAATTACTCAAACAATGATCATTAGTCAGAAATCATTTAGAACATGTTTATTTCACAGGTTACTAAACGAT